TTTTCAATTGCCAACGAATAAGAATAGAGTAAATTTCAAAGAATTGTTCAGTGATTGCAAATCAGTTTTGGAATAGGCAATGAGGTAGTTTAGTACTTTTTTAAAGGCGGTAAAATGTAGTTTTTTTAAGAGGGAAACATCGATTTAGCTAAGGGCGCCAAGATGGCGGATTAGAGCGAGAACGCTGTCAATATCCAACACCTTGTATTATTCCACCATGACCGCTCGGTATGCGAGAAAAAGCATGCTTCGTACTTTTTTCGGTTGTTGTTGTTTTTGTAGCGTGAAGACGGCCGGTTAGGTCAATATTGGATTTGTTTCTTTTATTTTCTAGCAGATAATTATCAGGAAGAAGGATGAGAAAATTGAAAGAATTACGCTCACAGAGAGCGAAATAACGAAAAAGTAAAGAAACGCAAAACTAGCAAGTAATCAGCTGATCGGTGTATTTGACCATTGAAAATACTTGGCGCTAATTTTTGTTTATCCATTTCGACAGCTGCTAGTTACTGCTAGTAAAAATTTTAGCTTTGTTTCTTAACAGATAATTATCACTAATTTCTGCTGGAAACCGTTTCTTAACCCAAAAACTAGCAGAAACTAGCAGATCTCTCTCGTTCTTACGCTCTTCTTTCTTTGGCTCTCCTGCTTTTTTTGGCTCTCCTGCTGATTTCTCTAGTAAAAATTCACATTTTTTATTCATTAAGAGTTATTCGCAAAAAACACTTGCACTTTTCGTACTATGTTTTGATGAATTTGACGCAAATAAATGGAGTAAATGAACTCAACTAAACACATATTCATTAGTTTATTTATTTATTCATTAGTTTTTATACATTTCTGACGTTTTAAATGTACACTTTCGCGAAATTCTGTATTTAATAGCAATATTCCGATGGTGAAAATCCGCTCAACAATCTTGCGTAGTTAATAGGTGCGTTCGTTTAAAGTCTCTAGTAAAAACCAACCAACAGCCAAATTCCGGCGAAATGTCACCAGTTCTCTCACAAGAGAAAAATATCCAAAACAGTACGCGAACAGAAAATTTGCAGAAACTTGCAAGTTAGACGAACAGCTGATATAATTTTTGTTTACATTCAAAAGTGTAAAATTTAAAACGTACGAAAACTCATCGCAACGTGGTATCCTGACACAGTTTATTGATTAAGCAAATAACTACTTTCTTCTTACAAGTTTAATTAGTCGCATTTTGTAATTTTTAACTTCCAAACCATCAAATTCAATTTTGTGATTTGCGTAAATTCAAACCAGCTAGTTTTGATCAGCTGTTTTCCTGTTGGCCAATTTCTGTTGGCAAAAATTTTTCCAGCAGAAACCAGCAGCTTCCCCTCAAAATGCCGTCAGAGAAGAACAAAAGCGTGTACAAACGAAAAAATATAACAACAATGCCATTGTTAATATGTTGGAGTAGTTTTGTGCTACTCTGATGTAATGCAGGGATGGAGTATATGGTCCTGCCCTAGGACATCGCAATGTTAATTGGACCATATTTTTTATATGAATTGTGGTTAATTTTGGAGTACTCTTTGATCCTTAGGGAGTACTCTTTACACGCATGCATGGAGTAGTCGCGATTTTTGCAGGGTAGCGCTTTCTCTTCTCGAAATAATGTTGCGTTAATTCCACCCTGCGCCAGGGCTATGAAGTTTTCGTGTTCTTTTCTCAGCATCTTCACAGGCTTCATGCGTGGTCTTTCTCTAAAATGATGAACTCTGATAATGTTGCTATATAAGGTGACATTTTTTCGAGTAAAGAGAACGCCATCAGTAAATATTTCATTAAATGGCTCGAAGGCTACGGGGGAATGCATACGGGCAAAACTCATGTTGCCCTAAATCTCGGAGGGTCGTGCTAGGTATTTTCTTACATATTTTTACACATACTGAGACACCTGTCCAATATTGTACAAAAAACCTAATGTATTGCTATTTTGTGAAAGTGATATGTATTCATTGGAAAACAAAACTAAATAAATAAGATAAGGAAAAATGGGAAAAGCAATAAAGTCTATGGGTCATTTGCACCATGTCTAGTTGACAATTAGTCTTTTCAATAAACTGTGCTTTAATTTAAAAATGTGATTATTGTTTTTAATATTGAATTCTGCTTAAAATATATATGTACATATTTAAGACTGATGATGATATCTAACGTTATAACAAAATTTAACAAAAAACTATTCACTTAATTTAAAAGAGAGAAAATTTGTAAATTGTAGTTTTGAATTATTATTAAAAAAAAATTAAAAAGAACTTTATAAAGCAAGCGTTTTGTTTA